TTTGATAAGGTTTGTATCACAACTAAAGTGGCCACATAATTTTTTTTTTAATTTAAACAATTAATCCGCTTTACAACGGGTGTAGAGCCTAACTGGCATACATATGTGAGTTTCAAGATAATTTTCACCATATAAATGCACTACATGCATAATCACATTTGAGAATGGTGTTTTCCCGCTAATTGATTGCATCTTGGAACATGCGCCTACTGCAGTGTGAGCATTGCTGCGCTTATAATGTGAAGAAATAGCCTAATAATTTATCAACATTTTAAGCTAAATGTTCTGATCTGTTGCGTCAGCCTCATTGCTTAAAAAAAGTTTTTGGATGCTAGTGGTTGTATTAATTTGGGATCTATCGCATCCCACATCTGTTTTCTTTCTCTCACAGAATAGAATAGGTAAAATGTTGTACTATGGGGAATGGTTGCTGTTAGTTAGGCCTACTCATCTTGTTGGCTGACAAAAAGTAATTGTGGACAGTTCTTCCAATATCTTCAATATGCGCCTCAGAATTGGATAAGATGCGCGCAGTTGCATCCCCAATGTGTTTGTCTTCACTTGTAGCCTGTGAGAAAGACCCAATCATGTGACGGGCACTGGCTAATAAGAATTTAGCTATCTGAGAGAGCTGTGTGAGTGAGAGGTGCTTCGGAGCACGCAGCCGGGAGAAGGGAATTATAATTATTATATTCAGCCCAAGGACACAACAGCCACTGGCTGCGAAAGGCATGGATTTTTTTAGGGGGCATTATGGCCACACAAAATGGATGCTACCGGGAAATTGTCAAATTGTGAATGACAGACTGATGAAGTGTGTACAGCCTGCGCAAAAAACTAAGCAGAGCTCATGCCTTTCATGCCACTTTTTTCAAATCATCATTAGAGTCGCATCATGCAGCCTTAGAATGTATTTAAAATCAAAACATACAGCCCAATGTTTGTATCTAAATTAAACATATAGGAGGACCTGTTTCTTTGTTAACCCCTCAACACAGAATAGCACTCCCTCAAATTGTTTGGAGAAAATATCCTTTCTATTTTATTCAGCTATGTTCAATTGTATTCTTCATACTAAAATAATTCCACGGAATTCTAAGCAAATATTTTCTGCTAAATTAACTAGTGTAGCCCACAGCCATATGGCATAGCCAGATCAGGGCCTAACATAAGGACAACTCAGAGTATGCTATTCTGTTCTTCTGAAATAGACTACATTTTATTCATATCATGTTTCTTTAGAGATGACTAAAATAAATAATGGATTTATTGTGATGGTGTAGGTTATATTACATGGATTTATTAGACTTTTTGTAGGCTATGTGTGGAAGCCATGAGATACTAAATGTGTTTATGTTAATTACGGTCAAGTACTGTGAGACCGGCAGTTATTTGCTTGACAATCACTGGCTGACAACATTTCTTGACCGCCACAACCCTAGGAGAGACTCAGCTTGACACTTCCTGAGTCACCTCCACTGTTAGCTATGGCTGCAGGCTATGGCTGCATTCCAAATTACACCCTATTCCCTATATAATGCACTATACAGGAAAATAGGTTGCCATTTGGGATGCAGATCATGCTGACAACTCTGATCCTCTGCACTGCCTAGGCTGGGAATGGTGAGTTTGGATACTCTAGACTTTTCATGTCACGAATACCTCATGTTTTGCATTAACTACTTATACTCCTCCATGGCTATGCTAATTGCATGTGTGTGTTTTTCTGTCTCTGTGTATTTTCTTCCACAAGTTATTGTTATTGTGTTCCTACTATGGTAGGATGAGATATGGTAAGAAGGGAGTGCCATAGAGAAGGACAGGATTGAGTCCTATTGACTGACAGTGAGTGAGACATGGAGGTTAGAAACTTGGTGATAGGGGGAGGGATATAAAGGGAGCGGAGGGAGATATTGAGGGAGAGACAGCGGTAGAGTTGGGGGGGGTGGGGGTGGAGGGAGAGGGAGAGGAATAGAATAGAACGGGCCAGTGCACAATGTAACAGTCTCCGACAGTCAGGTATTGAAAAGCAATCGCCATGGAAATAACAAAACAACACAGAATCCTAGGAGACCCAACCTGTACTTGATGAAACCTTACCTCTGCACTTCACAGTGCTAAGAAGCTACTCAGGGCATAGTCCCCAGTCAACACAGACACACACACACACACACACACACACACACACACACACACACACATCTAGTCTCCAGTCCCCCCTTCTACCTCTCTGAATAATTCATTTCTGCAGACGCAATTACCCGCTACACTAATACCAGGAACGATAGGAGCGGTCGCGCACGGCGGTGTGAGAACATTAAAACAGCACAGCCCTCACACGCAATTCCGACATGCAAACACAGAGGCTAACCACAGTACCCACCCCCCCGCCACAGCACCAACACGCCATTGTCTGGTTTATTTATCGTCACATTTATCTACCCACCGTGCAGCACTGCTGTGTGTGCTTACAGCCAAGAGCGACATGTCGGCACCCGGACACCACAGGCCAAGATTGCATTTCACCTTCCACTCCTGTGATAAATAAGTAAATGTCACGCCTCAGTAGCCACGCCGGCTGGCCACACCGCAGAGAAATGAGTTACTATAGTCCCTACTGCTGTGCATACCAGGCCTTAAACACAGAGACAGCCCTGATGATGTCACGAGAAGTCACAATTTATTCACCTGTTGAGTTGGTTTAGGTTTTAAGCTGCCGTCTGCTGTGTTTATTGTTATTGCTTTAAAGTGGTTGCCCACTTTGTTGTCATGAGTAAAGCTGTGTGTTTGTGTGTGTGTTTGCATGTGTTTGCGTGTGAATGTGTGTGTTTGCGTGTGAATGTGTGTGTTTGTGTGTGTTTGCGTGTGTTTGCGTGTGTTTGTGTGTGTTTGGGTGTGTCTGTGTGTGTTTGCGTGTGTTTTTGCGTGTGTGTTTGCGTGTGAATGTGTGGGAATGTATGTGTTTGCGTGTGAATGCGTGTGAATGTGTGTGTTTGCGTGTGAATGTGTGTGAATGTGTGTGTGTTATTCGCTTTTGTGTTCTCACATCACGTCCATTCATTTCAACCCCCCCCCTCAATAAGAGCTCCATCCAACCCCCATACAGTATGTTAGCTCTACTGTTATGTTCGGTCTTATTTCCATTCCCTCTAGAACACAGACTCCCTATAGACACTGAGGCCCAGAGATTTGGTAACAGAGCCCCATGCATAGAAATATTATCTATTATTCTATTTCTATGGCCACAATATCCCCCTACTACTAGAATCAGACTTGGACACTGACTCTCTTCCAATATCCATACTAGCATAGTTAGCATGTATCAATGCAATGTGTTGGTCATGCATTCTAAGTAGTATGCAAGTACAGACATTTAACCCTAGCCCTCATCTAAATAGGTGTTGATAGGCTCAATTACATCCATATTCTCTAACAGCCGCATCATAAACCATGATTCATATTTATATCATGAACATAACACACAGCCGATTGACCCTAAGTGCATGCTTATACCGTCAGTCCCTGTAGAACTATAGAGTCAGCATCCCAAATGGCACCCCATTCCCTATGTCATGCACTACTTTTGACCAGAGCCCATCAAAATAAGTGAACTAAATGGGGAATATGGTGCCATTTGGGACGCACATCGAGTTGTCATATGAAGAACAAATGGGCGTTAAAGGAACATAATGATTATATGATTCTCCATGGTGACTGTTATGTTCTGTAGTTCTGCATTACACATTTACATTCACACCAGTGTAATTAAGCAGTACATTAAAACCTGTCTTTATGATCATATCACAGTTGTCACTGATCCATTAGGAGCCGTGTCTGCCAAGCAATGAGAATCTTAATTGCGCAATTAATTACAGTCCTTCTGAATGATGTGTCAGTGGGATTGATGGTTTGCGCCCAGGCAAAGAGGCAACAGGCAAATGAGAGAGAGAGAGAGAGAGAGAGAGAGAGAGAGAGAGAGAGAGAGAGAGAGAGAGAGAGACTTCTTTATTGACTCATTTCCGCTGGTCCATATCAAAGGGGTCCCCACAATGTTTTCTACCACTAAACACATATACAAACTGTAATGGCTGCAATCACAATCGCCCCATTTAAATGCGTATTGAAATAAAAGGCTGCTGGGTTGGTTCCCTTGAAATGTATCTGTAAGTCAAACAAGCATGACATTGTTTTGCTTTCCCAAACCATGCCAATGAACCTTAATTGAACATTCAATTTCCAATGGGTCCAATTATCCTCCGCAGATGATATTGCTTGTTTTTTCCCAATCACCCCAAAATGTAGACAAAACAATTGATAAAACATAATAACATATATATTTGTGATTTTTTGTAAGTGTCTGTGTGGTACGGTATTGTTGTGAATGGGCTCCTGTACATATCAAATCAAATGTATTTATAAAGCCGTTTTCACATCAGCAGATGTCACAAAGTGCTTATACAGAAACCCAGCCTAAAACCCCCAAACAGCAAGCAATGCAGATGTAGAGACACGATGGCTAGGAAAAATTCCCAAGAAAGGCAGGAAGCTAGGAAGAAACCTAGAGAGGAACCAGGCTCTGAGGGGTGGCCAGTCCTCTTCTGGCTGAGGCTTCTGCAGGTGTACCAATGTGGTTTATCCCCACTGGGATCACCAGGGGTGGGGTGAGGAGATGGTGAGGGGAGGGGTTATGGGGGTGACTGGGTTCATTCAGCAGTGTCATATTGCACAGCTCTGACAGGGCCACGGTTCGCTATCTGTCAGCTTGTCTGTCCCCATAGCAACGCCCCAGGAGGGAAGTGATGTCACGGCTAACAGTGCCCATTGATTGGCTGATTGAGGTTGTTGTCGTGTTTGCCAGATGAGTGTGGCGCCACGACAGAGAGACAGAGAGAGAGTCTAAGAGAGAGAGCGTAGGCCCAGCGTTTTACCCTGTGGATAATTTAGAATAAAACATGTTCAGCTCATATTACCCAGGATATTTTGTTTGATTGTGATAAACAATGGTGTCTTTTAACAAGGCAGCGTGTTCTGTTCAGCAGGGCCAGAGAAGTGTAATCTTCACTGTTAACGTAATTAAATGTCCCGCAAGGATGAGGTAATGTGCTGCAACTTTTGCAAAAAAAAGTGCCAAAACTGCTGTTCTCTTTATTTCCTTCATAGAGTAAAAACAATTATTGTCTGATTGATACAGAAATCAGCATTCCAACCATGTTGCTAAATAATGAGTGTTTTAATTTATCTCTGGATGAGAGACGAGACACTTAAGGTGTTGACTCAGTGGTCTGTGCTCCTTCCCTTTTTAACATGAAATAAAGTAACACATTCACAGTGTTCCTGAGTGATATAACCTTAAAAAAGACCAGCTGTACAAGTATCATTTCTCCTCATCATGCAGTAATGAGAGAAATGTTACACATATCCTGGAAGTGATCAACCCCTGGCTTAACTTCTGAGAACCTTTTTTATTTACAGTACAAGTGAAAAGATTAGTCACCAACACAGAAAAAGGAAAAGCATTTGAAGGAAGTGGTGCAGAATGACATAGGAACTGACAACCCTCAATTTGATCATAAGTGCAGCCATTACTCTCTATTGTTAGTTGTGTTGACCTTCTCAAAGTATAGAGCTGTCTCTCTCTCTCTCTCTCTCTCTCTCTCTCTCTCTCTCTCTCTCTCTCTCTCTCTCTCTCTCTCTCTCTCTCTCTCTCTCTCTCTCTATTCTCTCTCTTCTTCTTCTCCTCTACTGACTTGGGGGGGCTAATGGTACTGCCATTTCAGTGCTATCATTTAAGAATCAGAGGAACAAAGAAAGGGTTTGGGTCATTTGGGGGTCTCTCTCTCTCTCTCTCCCCCTCTCTTTAACTCTCTCCCCCCCTCCTTAGACTCCGCCCCCCGCAAGGGAGTCGAGCCGCACGTCGAACGTCACGCGGGAAAGCGCAGACGCGCCCGCAGAGGGAACGCGCTCCCGCTCGGTGAAGCCGCGCCCCGCACGCGAAAACTCGCAGCCGCGAACTCCCCCCCTAACCTACTCTCTGCCCACTCCTGAAACTCTGCTCCCCTCCTGAAACTCTACTCCTCTCTTTAACCTGCTCCCTCTCTTTAACTCTCTCTCCCCTATCCTTAACTATCTCTCTCCCCCTTCTCTTCAACTCTATTCTCTCCAACCCTCTCTCCCTCTCTCTAGAAATCTCCCATTCCTGCTGTTTCCCCCAACTCTGAAGAAAAATGTGTGCCATCGATCAGTGTGAGCTCCATGGATTCACTCCAGTGTTTTACTATAGCACTAAGCCTTCCTCTCCTGCTGGGACAAAAATGGACATTCTCATTTAATGGGCCAGGATATTTAACTTGTATTGTGTGTTTGAAGCAGTACAAAATGGTCCCATGTCATTTTCTCCCCGTAAATTTTACATCCACATGGGCTTTCTCGTGTTTCACCAGCCAGATGAGTTTCTGCCTCATTGTTTACTAGGGATTTTAGGCTGTTGTTTTGTTGTATTGCAATCACTGTTCCAAGTTGGGTTCAGAGTCACACACTCATGCACTTAAACCCAAAGTGTGGCAGAAGACAATGCCACTCCGTTAACGACTTTCAAACAGTTTCGGTGCGCACCACCTGTTTTCATTTAGTACTTTTCAGCAGCTGTTACCTATAATTACGCCTGCCGTTATACTGCGAGAGGAGGGGTGGTGCATGGCGGGATGGTGATATTGTAGATCTGGTTGATAAACAAAGTAGTTTAGGGGAACCTATGAGGACTGAGGACACACTCCACCTCCCGAAGGAAGGGTCCAACCCAGTACCCACCCAGCAACACACACCCAGCCGGTTGAAGTGTGAAGTCGGACAAACCAATTGCTTTTTGACTCACAATTAGGTAGAGAGAGCTGTATAGTAGAGTTGGACACTGTGCTTTGTGTTGTGTTAAAGCCTGTACAGCAGATGTTTAATGTAGGGCTTAGTTAAGATGTACTACAGCCTGTGAATAGAACTGAAAGACTCATGTTTCCATTGTTTGTCACAGACCCATTCTATGTGGGAAAATAACATAATCCAACCCACTCCAGTGAAATAAAGGCAGCATTGAGTGAATTAGAGCACGACCCAGAAACTCCAGTATATCTGTCGCTCAGATTGAGCTATGCTGCTGTTACTCCTTTTGTGCTGTTTGTTGTAAAACTATGCAGACATACACACGCACGCACACACACACACTTCCCACCTCGCCATGTCTTATAAAACTATGCAGAGAGACATGTTGATTGAGCTTCCTTCCACCACTTTACCCTCCTGATCCCCTTTCATCAAAACTGGCTTAATTCATCCAAAACGGTCCATACATTAAGCCTGGTACAATAATATCCCTATAGGTCAAGCATGTTTACCTCTAAACCTGGCCCACACACACACACACACACACACACACACACACACACACACACACACACACACACACACACACACACACACACACACACACACACACACACACACACACACACACACACACACACACACACACACACACACACACACACACACACACATACACACACACACACACACACCTCTGGGGTCTCTAGCTACCCATGCCCTCATTAGTCTAGGTGACTAAGTCCATTCTTCTTCCTGTGTGGTGTGGAGTGTACACCAACCAGCACACTGGGAATGCATCCCAACTAGCACCCTATTCCCTACATAGTTCTCTACTTCTGACCAGAGGGAACAGGATCCCGTTCTCTAGTTCTGTGTCTGTATTAGGTTCTTATTGCACCTGAATAGTCCTGATCCGCATTAAAGCCAAAGGTGTTTAATAGTCACCCATTATCAGCAGTCAGTCGTCGGGTAGAGAAAGAAACAGAGCAAAAAGGAATTCATGTTACAATACTACTTATCATGCATGGGCCCTCTTTGCAATTACATCCTTGACTGATTTCTTTTTAGGCTTTGAAATTCATTTTCAATGACCTTTATGTCACCAAATTTGGTCGTGTGTGGAGAAAAGTTTCCAAGGCTGCTAATTGTTTCAAGTGGTGATGGGCAGAAAAGCCTTTGAGGTGTGTGAAAGGGGGAAGGGGGTAATGTTTCTTCATTCACTTTTCTCTTTCTCTAGTTCTCTAGTTCTCTCTCTCTCATTTTCTGCACTCTTTCTCTCACCACACACACAAGCACACATGCATGTGCTGATGCCTACACACACACACAAACACACACACACACACACACACCACACACACACACACACACACACACACACACACCACACACACCACACACACACACACACACACACACACACACACACACACACACACACACACACACACACACACACAGTCTTGTATAACTAACCTTAACCCTAACCTTAACCCCGAAAACCTAACCCTAGCTCCTAACCCTAAACATAATTCGATGCCTACACACACACACACACACACACACACACACACACACACACACGCACACACACAGTCTTGTATAACTAACCTTAACCCTAACCTTAACCCCGAAAACCTAACCCTAAACCTAACCCTAAACATAATTCGATGCCTACACACACACACACACACACACACACACACACACACACACACACACACAGTCTTGTATAACTAACCTTAACCCTAACCTTAACCCCGAAAACCTAACCCTAAACCTAACCCTAAACCTAACCCTAGCTCCTAACCCTAAACATAATTCTATCCAGAACCCATATTCTAACCTTAACCCTAAACCCCATAGAAATAGCATTTGACCTTGTGTGGACTAAACCCCCCCCCCCCCAACACACACCATGTTAGCAAGGTAGAAGAAAGACTAAAACCCCACTTTGTATGCAGGGGGCTCTGGTATGGTGGACTGCTCTGTTTCCACTCTGATCCCTCCTATGTTCCCTCCTCTTTCTCTCCTCAGACAATATAATTTACCCTCTCCTCTAGGACAATGGGACTTAATGAATGCATGCCACCCATGCAGACTATTAATTAATAATAAAGGACCCACAGCACATAATGGGCTGTGGCTGGGTCAATCGTTTAGAGAAGAATGGATGACAGCCAGGCAGGTTGTTCTTCCTGTGTGAAGGAATGGCTGTGTCTAGACTAGGCCGGTGCACAGGGACCCAGTGTAGCTACATGACTAGTAGTGCTGAGAAGCAGTGGACTCTACTGAATACATATGTCATAGAATACCTGAGCTGTATGATAATGTTACCTATTGGTGCAATAGTGATCGGTGATACTTCTGTTCACACACCACAATAGATGCTATATTGACTTTACAGCTTAGCTTTAAACTAACCTGACACCTTGGGACCTATTCAAGTGTTATGTTGACTTATTCAACTGCTCTTACACCAGTGTAGTTACCCTGTGTTTTATTCAGGAACATCCAGCGATCTCTTTTGATGGATTACAGCACTTTTTGTTGAGCTGTGTTCCCTTCACTCACATCAGGGTGGAGCTGCTGTCAGCTGGCTTGAAAAACTCAGTTGGCTGCCAGCGCTTGTTCCTATCTGATGTAAATGTTACAATGTTTCTCTCTCTCTCATTCACTTACTCAGCCTTCCCTTTCTGGAATACAGAACGTGTGCGAGCGAGGATGATTATTGCATTGTCATTTTGCCGAGGACACAGAAAGTGGTCCTCTAGCCAATTATTGCCAATTTAATTTATGGCATCTAATATAGTAAACAGCTGAGCTAAAAGCCTCTCCGGGGACATAAAAGTAATTTTGAATTTTTTTAAATAAAAACTCTTCATTAATAGTAAAGACGTAGTTTGACACATGTTGGCAATTTATCCAACTAGTTCTGAGTGTTTTTGGAAAGCATTGTATTTTTTTTACTGTTGCCATGGTCACATTGTCAACAAGGACACATAATCGATCATAGCATAGAGAGTTGTGTTGAAGTCTCAGGGCTTGTCAGAGCACAGCTGATTCAGAATGGCCCCATGATGATAAATTATATGAAACTAAAGGCTAATGGCTGGGTTACTGTTTGTTTGACTCTAACTAAAGCCTTGGCTGCATTCTGTATAACTTTGAATAAGGCCTATGAGATCATGCTATACTGAACCATTATAAAATGTGTGCTTCGAGCCCTGAATGCTGATTGGCTGACAGCCGTGGTATATCAAATTGTATACCATGGGTATGACAAAACATGTATTTTTACTGCTCTAATTGCGTTGGTATACAGTTTATAATAGCAATAAGGCACCTCAGGGTTTTGTGGTATATGGCCAATATACCACAGCTAAGGGCTGTATCCAGGCACTCTGCGTTGCGTCGTGCGTAAGAACATCCCTTAGCTGTGGTATATTGGCCATATACCACACCCCCTCGTGCCTTATTACATAATTATACTATCACATGTGGTAGAGTAGAGTAGTCGGGGACAAAGAACTACTTTCTCTACCTGACCTGTGCCCACTCCCTATCACCTGGCTGTAGGATATGAATGGTGATTTCCTGGCATGGTCCTCCAGTGTGTGTGTGTGTGTGTAATGAAAGGGTTATGTGTTAAAAAGCACTGTGATTAGAAGGATTCAGGGGCCTGTTTTTACTGATGGTCCAGTCATCCAGTCATGGTTCAGAGGGGTTGGGGGGGGGGCACAGCTGAGGAATGACGGGGGAATAGGGTGTCAGGCCGTGCTAGGTGTTGAAAAAAGCTTCATGCACCTGAACGCACCACTGCATCCTAATAACTCCTCAGCCGCTGAAAAACCTGCTTTGCTCTCACTCAGCACCTGTGAAGGGCAGACACCTGGCATTCCTGTGTGTGTGTGTCTTTTTGTGTACGTGTGTGTGTGGGGCGGCAGGTAGCTTAGTGGTTAAGAGCGTTGTGCCAGTAACCGAAAGGTCGCTGGTTCTAATCCCCAAGCCGACTAGGTGAAAAATCTGTCGATGTGCCCTTGAGCAAGGCACTTAACCCTAATTGCTCCTGTAAGTCGCTCTGGATAAGAGTGTCTGCTAAATGACTAAAATGTAAATGTGTGTGTCTGCAGAGCAATACTTTCATCAGTAGTGTTATAGGGGTCTTGGAGCATGGGTCCCAGGGTTAATTGCTCCCGTTGTTTGCATTAGTTCCCTTAATACAGCAGCCATGGCTATATCTGCAAGGCACACACACACACACACACACACAACAGCACATGATGAAGGCTCCACATCCCTCACAGATCATCACTTTTCATCATTCATTCAATAACACCCCACAAATGTATTCACAGTATTGAACTAAAAAATGTAGTAGCAGTACTCCATTCTTCTTTGTTTTATCATTCGCCAAACTTTTATTGGTTTTAAATTAAACATTTTTTAATCTTCAGAGCAATACTAGTGGCTGCAGATTCCTCTGCACACACTAGTGATTAGTATTCATGAGAGGTGCTGATATTTGGTTAAATCGTTTTGATATTCAAGACAAGCTCTCTTCCTGTCCGTCACAATGAACCAGATTCTGTCATGCACAGAGAAATATCATGACTGTCTTTTTTGATGTTGCAGATGTTTTCTGTCCCACCTCTCCTTACCGTTACTTATCTGTCTGAAAGAAAGGAAGAATAAAATAACAATTTGTAATGACCTTAGTTACTAAAAGCCTTTGTGATTTTTACGACTGTTATTTTGAAATTCTCATTCCATAAACATTCGGAGAGAAGGGAGAATAAATTGAATTTTGACACCCGTTTGGTTGAACGTGTTCCAGTCTCAGTGGGTTTTAAACAGGCTTCACCCCCAAACAGTGTGAACACACTGAGACTAAATGAACTCTAACAAAGCATCCCACGGAACATCAGATCACTTAATGTATATGTCGGACCTCAAACGTGTGACAAGAAAGCATCTTCTAAAGATGCATGGTGTGGACGTCAACGGGAAAACGCTGTTGTTTGAGCATAAAATTGATACCTGGTGTTTTCAAAGTAGCTTTGATCCTGCTTCTCACACAGAGAGCTTATGACTGTGACAGCGAATTAGCGGTGGTCTGCTAGACAGTAAGGATAAGTAACAATGACAGCCACAATAAGATATGACACACACTCATCTCATCTCTCCCTCTTTTGTTCTTCTAATCTCTCTCTCTCTCTCTCTCTCTCTCTCTCTCTCTCTCTCTCTCTCTCTCTCTCTCTCTCTCTCTCTCTCTCTCATCTCTCTCTATCTCTCTCTCTCTCTCTCTCTCTCTCTCTCTCTCTCCATATTGTGTCTTCTCTACCTATCTACCTCCCTCCCCCCTCTCCTTACAGAAGTCAGAAGAAGAGGACCTGGTTTTGACCCCAGATGGTACCAGGGAGTTCCTGACCTTTGAGATCCCCCTGAGTGACTCGGGGTCGGCAGGTCTGGGGGTCAGCGTCAAGGGCAACCGCTCCAAGGAAAATCACGCCGACCTGGGCATCTTCGTCAAGTCCATCATCAATGGAGGAGCCGCCTGCAAGGTAAGGATCACACATCCTTGTGTTCCATGGTTGATACATATACATGATAAATAGACCCTAATAAATTACAATTTACATTTTTACATTTTAGTAATTTAGCAGATGCTCTTATCCAGAGCAACTTACATGAGCAATTATGGTTAAGTGTCTTGCTCAAGGGCACATCGGCAGATGTTTCACCGGGATTCTAACCAGTGACCACTAGGCTACCAATGTCTACGCTTCTCAAAGAGAATGCTCATGAGGTGCAATAAGAATGAATGATGACTGTATTCGACTTCTGTTCTGTATTATCTAGTCTCCAATAGTTAGTTAATTACTCTGATGGTCATTCACTTTAAGAAATGGTGAAGATAACATGTCGTTATTGTAATGCGCTGTAAAACAGGTCAATTTACAGTGCATATATATGTAAATGATCACACCCTTCTTTTTTGTGTGGTTCTACAGGATGGCCGACTGAGAGTCAACGACCAGCTCATTGCCGTCAATGGCGAGTCGTTGCTAGGGACGCCCAACCAGGATGCCATGGAAACGCTTCGCCTGTCCATGTCGACGGAGGGCAACAAACGAGGGACGATCCAACTCATCGTTGCCAGGAGGGTTGCCAAGAGCAACGAGGTAATGATTGCACCATCTTGAGACTCTAAAGTAATTCAATTCTCTTCAATGTTTTTCAATGGGGAATTTGGAATTTGGTTTACTTTCAGAACTGACTGGAATTGAAATGAAATTGACCCCAACCCTCATGTGTGTATGAATGAATGATTAAATGCTAGATAATGAAGAGGGGATGTTTTAATTGGTTGGTCTTAGCTGAGATTCATAGGTTGATATTAGTGGTATTGAGAATGAATGAGTTGATCTCTTTCCCCCGCTCCTTTACTGCTTGTGCTACTTGACTTGTCAGACAGACGAGTGGAGTGGGTGAGAACGAGAGAACAAGAAAGGGATGAGAGAGGGATTGATGGATGGACCACTCGTCTGCTTTGAATGATAAACAAGGGCTTTATGATTGACTTTTACCATGCTAGCTATCTCTGTCTATTTCCCTCCTTTTCTTGGTTTGGTTCTTTGAGATAGCCAGAGGGACACCTTCAGGAGCTACCAGCATGCAAATCTTCACAGCAAAGATCCAATTTTGATAATCTAACTCTTCTCTGCTTTCGGCCCCATTGCATATGGTTGACTTGACAATGTGGGGCGCTATGATATGGTGAGAGCCACTTCAATGGTGGATGACTGGCAGACAGAACCAGACACAGCCCACCACAATGTGCAGATAGGAAGGTTGGACTTTCAGAAAGAAAGTGAATTAAAGTGAGGAGTTGTTATCAGGCTGTAGCAGAAGTTGAGAGGATCGAAAGCAATTCAGCCTGTGGAATGCCCTAGCCCAGATATGGTTTTGAAAGGTGCTGCTGTCTTTCAGAAATATAAAAAAAAGATCAAGTCCCATCACTCAACTCTGAGTCTATTTATGTTTCTCTATTAACCAGCAGTCGAGCTGCTCTCATAGCGTCTTAAAAAACAAATGTATCTTTTAGAATACATATAACATTTCATTGGCTTTGAAGTGGTGAAGCAAATATTTCATTTTGGTATCTATGGGGAGATGAATCGATATGGGAATGGGCTGATAATGGAGATGAGCTGCTTTTTTCAGTGGTGAAGTACTCGTCGTTGAAGTGCGTGTGCGTGTTTGTTTTGTGTGTGTGTGTGTGCCAATCCCCTGCATCCGCTGATTCGAGATCAGCTTTGATTAGTGTTGGTGTGAGGATGATTGGTGCCTCTGTCCTGTGGTCCTTGAGTAGACCTCCTGCTGGGACCCTCTCCCCTCATCTGCCCTTCGTCCCCCCACACGCACATTCCCCATCACCCCCCTACCCCTTCTCCCACTCACTTTCCCTGGCCAAGGACACTTGTCCCTCCTGGGCCCTCCAAGATCCAAGGTCTCTCCTATCAGTCCAGCCTGTCAAATTTCAAGTTGTAATGTCACGTGCACAGTGAAATACCTTTCTTGCAAGATCGAAACCCAACAATGCAGTAATCAATTTCAATTTAGGACTAAACATAACACAAGGTAGAACAAAAACACACAAGAAATAAAACATAAGAAGTAAGAAGTACTAAATACAGGGTCAGTCAGTTCCAATACCATGTTTACAATGTGCAGGGATACTGGAGTGATGGAGGTAGATATGTAAAGGGGTAAGGTGACAAGGCATCAGGATATATGATAAACAGAGTAGCAGCAGCATATACAGTGGGGAAAAAAAGTATTTAGTCAGCCACCAATTGTGCAAGTTCTCCCACTTAAAAAGATGAGAGAGGCCTGTAATTTTCATCATAGGTACACGTCAACTATGACAGACAACATGAGGAAAAAAATCCAGAAAATCACATTGTAGGATTTGTAATGAATTTATTTGCAAATTATGGTGGAAAATAAGTATTTAGTCAATAACAAAAGTTTCTCAATACTTTGTTATATACCCTTTGTTGGCAATGACACAGGTCAAACGCTTTCTGTAAGTCTTCACAAGGTTTTCACACACTGTTGCTGGTATTTTGGCCCATTCCTCCATGCAGATCTCCTCTAGAGCAGTGATGTTTTGGGGCTGTCGCTGGGCAACACGGACTTTCAACTCCCTCCAAAGATTTTCTATGGGGTTGAGATCTGGAGACTGGCTAGGCCACTCCAGGACCTTGAAATGCTTCTTACGAAGCCACTCCTTCGTTGCCCGGGCGGTGTGTTTGGGATCATTGTCATGCTGAAAGACCCAGCCACGTTTCATCTTCAATGCCCTTGCTGATGGAAGGAGGTTTTCACTCAAAATCTCACTATACATGGCCCCATTCATTCTTTCCTTTACACGGATCAGTCGTCCTGGTCCCTTTGCAGAAAAACAGCCCCAAAGCATGATGTTTCCACCCCCATGCTTCACAGTAGGTAAGGTGTTCTTTGGATGCAACTCAGCATTCTTTGTCCTCCAAACATGACAAGTTGAGTTTTTACTAAAAAGTTCTATTTTGGTTTCATCTGACCATATGACATTCTCCCAATCCTCTTCTGGATCATCCAAATGCACTCTAGCAAACTTCAGACGGGCCTGGACATGTACTGGCTTAAGCAGGGGGACACGTCTGGCACTGCAGGATTTGAGTCCCTGGCGGCGTAGTGTGTTACTGATGGTAGGCTTTGTTACTTTGGTCCCAGCTCTCTGCAGGTCATTCACTAGGTCCCCCCGTGTGGTTCTGGGATTTTTGCTCACCGTTCTTGTGATCATTTTGGTGAGATCTTGTGTGGAGCCCCAGATCGAGGGAGATTATCAGTGGTCTTGTATGTCTTCCATTTCCTAATAATTGCTCCCACAGTTGATTTCTTCAAACCAAGCTGCTTACTTATTGCAGATTCAGTCTTCCCAGCCTGGTGCAGGTCTACAATTTTGTTTCTGGTGTCCTTTGACAGCTCTTTGGTCTTGGCCATAGTGGAGTTTGGAGTGTGACTTTTTGAGGTTGTGGACAGGTGTCTTTTATACTGATAACAAGTTCAAACAGGTGCCATTAATAGAGGTAACGAGTGGAGGACAGAGGAGCCTCTTAAAGAAGAAGTTACAGGTCTGTGAGAGCCAGAAATCTTGCTTGTTTGTAGGTGACCAAATACTTATTTTCCACCATAATTTGCAAATAAATTCATAAAAAAATCTACAATGTGATTTTCTGGATTTTTTTCTCTCATTTTGTCTGTCATAGTTGACGTGTACCTCTCTCATCTTTTTAAGTGGGAGAACTTGCACAATTGGTGGCTGACTAAATACTTTTTTCCCCCACTGTATGATGATTGTATGTGAGTGTGTGTATATGTACATATGCCTGCCAGCTGTTCAGTCACTCTGTAAACCCCTTAAACTGAGAGTGAGAGAGAGGCACTCTTCTGATGTTGTCTTCTCTTAGCTCTGAGAGAGGGATAGCTACTACAAAAAGGAGAGACAGAATATAAATAGACGGGATTGTTGCCTTGCGGTGACTTCTATCCCACCACTCAGCAACCAGCCCACCAGCCGGTCAAGTAATGTTGTGATAGCGAGCGCCAGTTTGCTACTGTCACAGAGCAAAGTGGGAGTGAGCACAGAGGGCAACATTACAATGAATACGATCCATCTCTGTCTCAGTGGAGGGAAGCCAAGGCCGAAGGCGCTAATGTATTTGAGAGGGGAGTTTAGTGGTTGTGTTATGTGGAGGTGCTACCCTGCTCAATGGATAGGCTTGTTATGGAGGTTACAATGTGTTTATGTTGGTTTGATTCTAGACACTGGCTAGAGAGAAGGCCACCTTTGTCAACCCTTACACGGTTGTTTTCCCCTTTCCTGACTCATTTGAAACATAATGTACAGTAGCATTCATTAATCACTTTTTAGTCCCCCAGTTAACCTTGGATGTAAAACAGCTGAGAGAGAGGCACTTGGGAAACTGTTATGTTGTATATGGAATATTATATACAGTACCGGTCAAAAGTTTGGACACACCTACTCATTCTAGGGTTTTTCTTTATTTTTACTATTTCCTACATTGTAGAATAATAGTGAAGACATCAAAACTATTAAATAACACATTTGGAATCATGTAGTAACCAAAAAAGTGTTAAACAAATCAAAATGTATGTTATATTTGAGATTCTTCAAATAGCCACCCTTTGCCTTGATGACAGCTTTGCACACTCTTGGCATTCTACGTTGAAGAATCTCAAATCTCAAATATATTTTGATTTGTTTAACACTTTTTTGGTTACTACATGATTCCATATGTGTTATTTCATAGTTTTGATGTCTTCACTATTATTCTACAATATAGAAAATAGTAAAAATAAAGAAAAACCCTTGAATGAGTAGGTGTTCTAAAACATTTGACCGGTAGTATATATATATATATATATATTTATATTTATATTTATATATATATATATATATATATATATATATATATATATATATATATATATATATATTTATATTTATATTTATATATATATATACAGCTGTGGAAAAAATGAAGAGACCACTGCAAATTTCTCTTAAATCAGCATCTCTACATGTATGACAGCCATTCCATTCCAGTGTCTGTTGAATTCCATCACAGGCACACCTCATTCTACTGAATTAGGTACTGATTAGGTGATCACCTGAACCAAATCTTATTTAACGAGGAAAAGTATAAAAACCACTGCTGTGGTCATCACTATCCTCTTGCAATAGGACCAGCTGGATGGCAAAAACAGGCTAATAGTACCTCAAAAGAAATATTAATAAAAAAATAACTATTAACCATGCCAAAAGAGTTTAAAAGGAACGTTTTGAGTGAGGAAAATAAGGGTTCAATTCTGGCTTTACTGGCAGAGGGATACAGTGAGCATCAGGTTGTTTCCATCCTTAAAATGTCATAAGAACAAGGTCAAGCAGCAGACATTGGGGACAACAAAGCTACAGACCGGCAGAGGACGAAAACAACTCTCTACTGACCGGGATGACCGCCAACTCATTCGAATGTCACTCAACAACCGTAGGATGACATCAAGTGACCTACAAAAAGAATAG